AACTTAGGTGAGGTTCTGGTATGGATTTCAAGGGGGACCCCATAACAAAATTGGCTTAGGGACCCCCCAACATCCAAGCGTGCAGCCTAGCTGGCCAGGAAAAGAAAGAAACAGGTGTGCACCTCCCTCCTTAACCATACCAGGCTCTCAACAAGGAAAGGGTACATTACCGAAGAGGACAAAGGCATCTTCCCCATATTTCTGGTCCAGCGGATGAGGGGGTTTACGGGTGGGGGTTTTTTGGACTCTGGAATCCCCCTTTAAAATTAGGTGGCTTGAAGATATCCACTGTCCCCCCATATTTTAATGAGCACAGAGTACATAGCACCCCTACTTATGTACAAAAAAAGTCCTTTATAAAAAAAAAAAAAAAATATTAATGACAGATCCCTAGGTCAGCAGTTTGTAAATGAAGAGGTGAAGATGGTGGCTGATGTCAATAACTACACATGGCCATGGTCATATTTAGTTAATGATGTCAGTCACAATCCCCAACCTTTTCTTTAAATTCCTCTTCTAACCAGGAATCCTCATCTTGACAGCTGAGCGGGCCTGGTAGAGATGCGTCACTGGATGTTAGAATACCAGTGGCCACTTGCTTCCTAGCAACCAGAAGGCACAAGAGGGAGCCTGGCACATTTAGCAATTGTAGTAATATTGCACCTTTGTATTGCTTTCAGGAGCAGCTGAAGGTTTACGTCTGCGGCTAAGTGAACACTCCATTTAGTCTGACTGTTAGCTGAATCCTACTTTGATCTGTATCTGAAAACCATATTTTTTCCTGAACATAAATACCACTTGTCCTGCTGCACAGGCTTATTGTACTTTATTTCGGTCCAACATCATGTAACAAGACACTCTTTACAAGGATGGACAACCACCATAGGGCTATAGTACACCCATGTTTCTGGTAGCAGAACCAATTCATGATACCAAAAGTGATGCAATATTGCCAAAATTACATTTTAATATTATTTACTTGATTTTTGTAGTGTTAAACAGTGAAATCCAGTTTTATCAGAGTGATGCCACACTACTAGTGTAATACCATCATATCTGAGTTAATGGCCTCATGTTATCAGAGCCAGTGAAAATCTTCTCATTAGTCATGTTGCAGAGACAGAAAGCTTGGGAAGCCAGCTTCTTTGAATCACAGTCCTCCCTTGTCCCCATTATGATATTTCAGAAGTCCTTAGACCACCCTGGAAGCTTGTTAGATGGTGCAATAGAAGGTTTGCAGTCTCTGTTAAAAAAAAAGCAAGATATGGCACCTACTATTAACTTCTTTTTGACAACTACAGATTAGTATTAAATTGAGGGGTATATATTACACATCCTGAATTTCAAATGAATAGCAAAGGTATTTTTGTAATACAGAAGTGATGAACAGAGGTGCCATGGGTCAGTGATTAAGAACCCCAGCTGGTAGTTTGACTCTGGGCACTCCCCACTGAATGGCACTATGTGCTACTGAACTGGTCACATATTGCGCAAGCTGACTATGCTTACAATTACTTTGGAATTATGTTCTATTTATTTGCAGTCTATGTGGGGAGGAATGTAAAAGGTAATTGTCCAGTAGAACATATGCTGTGTCCTAGGAAAACCCATTCATAATGAAGAATGTTTCAGTGATGTCATAGTCTGTGTATGTCCCAATGACAAATGGACTAAAGTTCAATAAGAGAGTTATTGATGGTGTGCAGAAAAGTCAAATTCTGACCTCCAGTACCTAATAAATGCCACTGAATGACAGCATACAATCCAGTTTATAATCAGTGCTTGTATTCCAAGTCCCATACTTGTTGCCCTCCCTTTACATTGCATCATGTTCATGGAGACAGACAGCCACTTCATTCTCCTTCTGTCAAATGCACTGTTATGTATTCTGGTTACATGGCAAGTTATATTGTCATAACATACCACATATACATTTAATTTCCTTTCTATTATACATATAATGTATGTCCTAACAGAATAAGACATTTTAGCATGTTTATTTCCCAACACTTACAAATAAAGTAAATTATTCATGCCCATGAACCAGCTATACAGTTGGCTTTCTGTCAGCTGCAACAGCTGCAGGCACAATGGTTTTATCCCCATTCATCAATCATGCAGATACAAGACTGGTTAGCAGTTCCCATATGGGACTCGTAATGGCAGATCATCTAAAACGTATGCTATACAAATAGGTAACCAGCATAACTGATAAGAAGTCATTATGCAATTCACAGTCATGTTGTGGGCATGGAGTGAGAGTTTTTCATCATCATTATTTGTTTAATTTTAAACAGGCAAATTGATACGTGATTTTTATGTGTTAATCTTCCTAAAACTGTTATTAAAAAAAAAAAAAAAAAAAAACAGCTGTTTATTAAGCTTTGAGACTGCATCCTATTGGCTTACTTGGAAAGAGTCATCCGACAGTGTATTTGCATTGTCTCTGAGTTTAAAACCCAGCTTTAGCCAATTGTTTTGTTTTTTTTTTTCATTTTTCATTGCAAAGGGAAATATAAAGAGAACCTCTTTCAGGACTCCCCCCTCCCCTCCCCACATCATCTGTATGTTCCAGCCAGAGGGCAACATGCACAATAAGCCATTCACATGGAACAATTATCATTTTCTCCCATGAGGTTAGGTTAAGGAAGAGTATAAAGGTGTACATTCTGCCTCAGTGACCACTCCTTGTTTCTTTCAGGGATGAGCAAAGTGACCTGGATTCGGTTTTAAGAAAGTTTTATGGACCCAGCGTGAAATCTGAAAATGTCAAACTTAGTACCAAACCCTAACATATGTAGTCTATGGCAGCTGAATTGTATTAGCTTTATAAAAAACAGGCATGGGTAACTGGACACTGCCATTGGGGACATATATCAATGCAAAGATTTTTCAGAATACCCTTTAGGGGCTTGCGACATAAAGGGCAACAGTAAAAATACACAAATACTTTAAATAATATGCTTTGTAAATGCCCTAAATCTGCACGTATACCTATGCAGCAGTAAGATGGGTTCCTTTAAAAGATACATTGTGTGTTTATAAATAGCGGCCCGGGGATCTGTCATTGACAGATCTGGTGTTGGCTTCTGATTGTATGCAAAACAGGGGATCTATCAGTCAGTTTTGGTAACAATACCGATGTTAAATGACAGACGCCTGTTGGCTTTGAATTGTAAACAAGCCAGCAGGGTTCCTGGGTGACATCATTGACCAGATATGGCCATGACCATATTTAGAAAACGACTTCACCCAGCACGACTGGTCCCTTTGTTTACAAACAGAATATCATCAGGTGTAGCATGTTAACATGTCAACAGGTCATCATAATTGACATGGATCTACATAGCTGGACAATGTGACGGGAGTTGTATGTACATCCTAGGGACAATTCACTAAAGATTATCGCATCGTCATGTGACCACATATCGCATGCAATACTGAACATGTGAATTCACTATTGCTAGTATGCGGTATGTATCGCAAATAGCAAAAACGTTTGGTAAATATCGCATTAAAAGACCTTTAAAGTCAATTCACAGAAGGAAATAAATAATTAAATGCATGTGGAAAGTAGGTAGTGGTTGAGGCATGCAATATGTACTGGTTGGTAAGGAGCGGGTGGCCGCCAGCATCCTTAACAACCAGTAACTATCATGGTTCTGGCATCCTTAACAATCAATGAGTCATTAGCTGTCAGCGGGATTCCCCGCTGATAGCTGAATGTAAAAATAAGAATTGCCAGCAATTCAAAATTTTTTTTTTTCAAATGGCATGAGGTTCCCCCCCAATCCTTACCAAGCCTTTGAGTCTGGTGTGGATTTTGAGGCGAACCCTCAAACCAAAATATTTTTAAGAATGGCGTGGGGTCCCCCCAAAATCCATACTAGACCCTTATCCGTGCAAGCAGCCTGGTAGGTCAGAAAATGAAGGGGTTGAGCGAGAGCCCCCCCCCCACAAACCATACCAGGCCACAAGCCCTCAACATGGCAGGGGTGCTTTAGGGCAGGGGGTCTCATCAACCCAGCATGTCCCGGGTGATGATGTCACAAGGGGGCAGTATCACCCAGCAATGTCACTGGGTGGTCTTGTCCCTTAGTTATTTAAGAACTGTCAGGCAGCAGAGCCATCAGATGGTGGGAACAGATCCTTTTTTTCTTCCTGTAGGTCAGCGGTGGAGGCGGGCATCGTGATTGACGATGGAACTACATCAGGGGACATTTTTTTAAATTTAGTTTTTTTAATAAAGGACTTTTTACACTACACATTTTGGTAAATGAGTAGGGGTACCATGTACCCCATACTCATTCACATGGGGGGCTAAGATCTGGGGACCCCCTTGGTAAAGGAGCTTCCAGATTTTGATAAACCCCCTGACTGCAGACCCCCACAACCACTGGCCAGAGTTGTGGGGAAGATGCCCTTGTCCCCATCAACATGAGAACAAGGTGCAAAGCACTTCCCCCATGTTGAGGAAATGTGACCTGGCATGGTTCAGGAGGGGAGCCCCACTCCATTTTTTTTATTTTGGTGTGGGGGTTCCCCTCAAAATCCATACTAAGCCCTTTGGGTCCTGGGGGGGGACCTCACGCCATATTTTTCTTAATTTCTAATTGCTGGCAATTCATTTTTATTACATTCAGCTGTCAGCGGGGGAACCCACTGACAGCTGACGAATCATTACATTGCAACATGTTTTCACTATTAAAATACTGCATGACTAACTCAGTGTTTTAGTTGCGTTTTTGAGTGACTGCCAACATTTAAAAAAAAAAAAAGCTATGTGGTATCCTAATGCATACATGGATACGGTAAGAAACCATTTTGTGAATTGTCCCTAGTGTTTTTTTTTTTAATTTTCATTAACTGCTTGCCTGCTGTCCTATAGTAGAAGTACTGCTACAGGGCAGCAGGGCTGCGCAAAATCATGTAAATCACCGGGTCCCGGCAGGAAATTCCTCACTGGCACCCAGCAATCGCCGAGTAAAACAGGGGAGTGACCTGTGTGTAAACAAGACAGGTCTCTCTCCTGCCAGCAAGCACATGCTGCTGTGTATTTCTCTGCACAGCACAGAAATACACAGCAGCATGTTTCCCTAATAAAACACACACACGGCACATAATGTAAAACACATACAGCACATAGTTAACCCTTTGATCGCCCCAGATGTTAATCCCTTCCTACCCAGTGCCATTAGTACAGTGTTAGTGCTTTTTATTAGCACTGATCACTGTATTAGTGTCATTGGGATGTTAGTGGCAGTTAATCAGTTCCTACCCAGTGGGTCCCGCAGTCCCTCTATAAATAGCTGATTTCCGCTATTACTATACATGTATTGGGATTTTTTTCTAGCAAAGACATGTAGCAGAATACATTTTTGCCTAAATTTAAGAAGAAATTAGATTTTTTTAAATTTTTTTATTGAATATGTTTTATAGCAAAAAAGTCAAAAATATTTTTTTTCTCAAAATTCTATGTATGTTTTTGATTATAGCGCAAACAATAAAAAACGCAAAGGTGATCAAGTACCACCGAAATAAAGCTCCATTTATGTGGAAAAAAGGCCCCCCCTTCACACTACTGTCCTTTGCCCCCCGCTGTCCTAACTTACACAGACAGTGATTGATTGCTAGGACTGCCCTTCATCCTAGCAACCAGTCACCTGCTTGTTAATCTTGAGCAGCTCCCACTCGCCATCCAGAACTGTCCCGCCTCCTGCTGTCAGCTCTGTAAGGATGACCGAGAGACAGCTGGGGGAAGAAAAGGCTCTTAAATGGCAGGACTGCATGGGTCCGGATGGGACAGTGACTCGGTCCGCATCTGGACCCCAGTCCGCCATTTAGTGATGTCTGATGTAGGGGGAAGAGACAGATGCCTTGCAAGTAATCCTTGTATTGTTAAGAGCATCTGACCTAGTATGGTTTTGGAGGGGTGCCCTTGCTCACTACTCCCTACTTTCTTGACTACCCAGGCAGCATGCCTGGATAAAGGTCTGGTACACATTTTTAGGGGATACCAAAGAATGTGTGCTGTCTTTGTAAGAAATAACAACCAACCTGTGCCACCCTAAAATTTTATACTAGGAACTTATCCAGGTATATAGACTGGGTGAGCAGGAAAGGGACTTGAATGTGCTTCCCCCTAACCTCCTAAACAGGGGCGGACTGACAACTCATGGGGCCCCCCGGGCAATAGGAGATCATGGGGCCTCTGTGTCCTTGCCCAAACTCAAAAAAGCCTATGAAAAAGGTACCAGGGGCATCTCATGGGGCCCCCTACTGACCCCGGGCCCTCGGGCAGTGCCCGAGTTTCCAAATGGTCAGTCCGCCCCTGCTCCTAAACCATACCAGGATACATGCCCCAAACATTGGGAGGGCACTTTTCAAGGGATCCAGCAAAACCAGGGCTTCATAATCACATCCTGTATCTCAAAAAACATGTGTACCACAGGTGATAACAAGTAATGAGAAGTCACTAAATTTCACAGATACTTGTTTTTACTTTCAAACTATTTTTTTTTGTGTTAGTATGCTTTAAAATTGTAAATTTGTCTTTTTTCTATGTATAGCTTCTATTGTTTTAATAGTATCAGCCGCTTGTGACTTTCACTCATGAAGTAGCAATTCTTAGTTTTTTTGCAGAAGATAGTTGTATATGTATATATTCTGTATAACAGTAAACTATTAAACAATTTCTTCCCCCTTTTTCCTACTTTCTGTATCTAAATTTAAGAGGAGACATTCTACTTTGTGAACTGTGCAGTCTGTCATTAGAGATTATCCCTGTCTGTCAGTCTGTCTTTGGGTCTTTTACATACAGTTCAATCTCTTCCTTTCTCTTTGGCAGCTGAACTAACATTCACTTGAGCTGTTGCAAAACTGGATCCATTTGGTGATATGACTTGCAGCTCACACTCAGACTGCTGCTCTTTTAAACACCAGCCAACTCATTTTACCGGATTTTTGTTTTGCAAATGTTGCCCTTCTGAGTTTAGATGTGTCCACTTTAAAAGGGTGAGCAGTTGCTATGCTCTCTTAGTTCCTTCCTGTGTGCCCTTTCCTAACTTATTAATTATTACTAGCTTATAGCAAGTTGCATAACTAACATAATATAAAACAGAAGAGAGGGATAGTAGAAAATATGCAAAGGAAAGAGAATACAGAGACAAGAGGTAGTATGAGGGAAAAAGGGGGACAGAAAAAAAGGAGGGAGAAGGGAAAGAGCATTACGTAGGTGGTGAACTTCATCCCCTCTCCTTACTCTAAGGCCTTTAAGGATTGATGGGATGTTAGAGAATTAGCAAGGGGCAAAGACCCCCAGCAGAGGAGTGAAAGCTATCAAAGGAAACCAAGTTTTTACAAATTTCTCATAAGAATCCTGGAAGATAACTGACATATTTTCATTTATCGTGATACCCATAACCTTTGGGTGGGTGATTTCCATGCTCACATAATTGTCTTTTGCAGCTTTGTAGATGAATGAAACCAGTAATGGGCTTGTGAAGCAAAGCTTCTCAAAGATTTTGGTCTAATACTGTTTGGTCTAATACTTTTGCAGCTTTGTAGATGAATGAAACCAGTAATGGACTTGTGAAGCAAAGCTTCTCAAAGATATTTGCATAGATTTTGGTCTAATACTGTTCTGATAAGATGGTAGACTCTTTACTATGGGACAGATCAACCAAAAATAGTACATGCAGTGCAGCCCCTAGGACATATTGAGCTGTGGGATGAAACACATCTTGCCATCCTTGCAGGTGTGAGGTACCACCTACATACAGTATGTATGCTTTTTCCCTTCTGTTTTTACCTAGTGATTCTGCCAATAACACACCTTCTGTATTAGAGTGTCCCCACTCTGGATGATGGAGCACAGGGTCACCTGGGGGAGATGAGTGTTAAATGTACTATCAAATTTAAATACACTAACAAATTGAAGCCATAGTCCAGTTCACACTTCATAAGCAGTGGGATAAAGGTTTACCACGAATGAAACCTGATCATTGTAAGCAACTCTGTCAGTGGCAAAAGATTTGTCTTATCTGTGTAACTCCTACATCTGCAAGAGAGATTGATCAGTATGTAGGTAGGTAACTGTATAAGTAGTACTGACAGAAACTTTGGCAAAAAAAGTTATGTTCATTGCATTAATGCAGTTGAACCAAGAACTCTTGTTCTGTTTTCAGGTTTTAATGACGGCATAAAAGTTACGAAGTAATGAGGAGTTAACATTGTATAAAGATGTAAGGGATGTTGTGAGATGGATCCGAATATGGATACCCATTCAAAAGAGTAGTTTTGCCAGAGACAGCATCGGGTTGTATTTTTTAGAGAGACATTAATTGCCTTAGATTTAGATGGATTGATGCTTGGCTCCAAAAAGTTTGTGAATGAGGAAAGTTCTGCAGTAAGGTAATGCCTCATACGGTTGTGTTACGCATACTGCAATAAAAGAGATTTATGTGTGATGCCTCCATGCTCAATGCCTTCAATATCAGGGCTTTGACAATGGGATATTGCCAGAAGCTCCAGAAGGAGTATGAACAATACGGGGGACAGGGGACATCTCTGTCTAGTCCCTCTATGTATGGGAAAACACTGTGAATTGAAGTCATGATATTTAAAGATAGTCTTGGTAGAAGTGTAAAGCAGTTATCTGCTGCAAGGCCAATTTATCTAGGTCAGGATTTATTTCAAATGATTTTTATTGAAAGATTTTACACAATACAAAACAAAGATCAGCACGGTTCACCATAGAATATATACATACTTAAATGAGGGAGTAAGAGATAAGAGATACAACCCCACCAATTGGTCAGGGGTATATAAACAATTAGCCAGTGTATCAACGTGTCATTTGTTCAGTGTGAGCCGTTAGGTAGAGGAGAAACGTTTTATAAGTTGGAACAGGGTAGGGAGGGGGGAGGCAGAGGTTGGGGGGAGGGGGGGGGATAGGTCAGGATTTAAAGTAAGAAAGCAGAAAAGGCAGCTTAGGCAGGGTCATTGTTTACTGTTCGGAGGGATAAGTGTTTAAGGACAAGGACACTGTAAAAGTGATGAGATTGTGATCAGAGAGAGGAGTGCGCATGCTTCGCGGGACGGACATGCTTCGCTGAGGCTCCGTCTCCCCGTCGGGTGACAGCGCCGCGAAGCAGCGGGTCCCGGCCCGCAACATAATCCAGGGGGACCCGACCGAGGAGGCAACCCTCCCAGGGACCGATCCGCCTTGATCTGCGGCGGCTCCCTTGCAGTAAGTCGGAGTAATCCGACGGGACACATGTCCCAGCGGCAAGCGCCGCACAGACCCGCCCACCACAGCTCATACTGAACCAGGGCAGGAGTGAGAGAAAAGAAAAGGGGGGCTGAGAACACCATAACAGCCCCCCCGACTGACAGATAACAAAATGGTTAAGGGGGCACCGCGACACCAGGTCCCCCCTTCTACAAAATCAATCAAGGAGGCCCTGGCAAAGGCCTCCACAAAGATGGCCACCCGCCCCAGCACATGGAAGCAAGAAGGTGACAAATGCCTATGCAGCCCTGCAGGATCCGCAGCCCAGCCATCCCTGCACGTCTGAGGGTGAGTCTGATACTGAAACAGATGCCCCTACACAAGCCCTGACGCCTGACCTTACAACCCCTGACCTGTTAACTCGCTTTGAACAAATGCTACACAAAGCTTTGAAGCAAACCTCGGACCGCATCACTGCCACGCTATCTAGGGAAATTCGTGAACTGGGGCAACGCACTGCGGACCTAGAACAGAGGGTAGATGGTCTTGATACCACGCTTCAGACACATACGGATGACCTTGACCTTCTGCGCGACGAAAACGCAACACTATTGACACGACTGGAGGACTTTGAAAACCGGGCACGACGCTCAAATCTGCGTATTCGTGGCCTCCCAGAAACGATCGTCAATCTCCAATCAACAGTAACTGCTCTGTTTCAAGAGCTTGCCCCAGCTATCCCAATCGAAAGATTGGAATTGGATAGAGTACACAGGGCGTTAGCATTACGACGCACGGATGGTCCACCACGTGACATTATAGCCAAGCTCCACTTTTTTCCGCACTAAGGAGCAACTATTACAAGTTGCACGTAACGCAGAATCTCTACAGT